ATTCGATGACGATCATTTGCATTAGTTCAAATAGAAGTTGATTCGTTAAATTTAACTATTTCTTATTTACACAAACTTGCGCAGCTATGTTCGCTTTCAATCAATACTGAATTAATCAGTCATATTCAAGACGAACTAATAAACTGTAATCTTAAAATATTATCTCAGTTAAATCGTCTGCATTTAAAGAATAGTACAACCTTGAAGTCTATCAATTTGTCACATCTTCGCCATTTAAAACTTAAAAAATGTTTAAGTGATGAACTGGAAATCAGTGTTCAACATGCACCACAACCCAAATCATTAGATGATTGTTTGAATGTGAAAAGTTGGAAGTTTGTACTTAATTTCCCATTGAATGACATGCGACTAAATTTAAAAACCGAGGGTAAGTAATAAAGAAAAAATAGATTTATCAAAACTATGTGTAATGATCTATAGGATTCGGATTTGTCGAACGATGAGTATAATAAACGAATTTTCTCTCAGACATTGAATATTCATTTCCTAATAATCATTTCATACGCAAGAGTACTTTCACTTTGTTATCTATAGATTACTACACATCGATAGATGAAATGGAACAATTCTTAATACAACTGCCTTATTCAAAGCATTTCGAACCCAAAGTAATGGCTTAAAAAATCTTTTTGATAAATATCAATAGCAAGCATTGGCTAATTCCTTCATTACTTTCAACTTCGCATTTAACCCTTTGGGTGTGGGTGTGGGTGTGGGTGTGGGTGAGGGTGGGTATGGATGTGGGGTGTGGGTGTGGATGTAGGTGTGGGTGTCGATATGGGTCACGCTTTTCTAATATATCATGGCCACACCCACAACCCACACCCCACACACACCCCCACCACCACACCCACATCCACACCCACACCGACACCCACACCCCACACCCACACCCACACACACCCTTTTATTTATTTCGAACTCTTAAAACATAATAAAAGGCATAATAAAATAATGATAACATAATAAATTGTCCGATTATTTTATTTTCTCGATAACACAATCCTAATGATCTCATTGACTATGAAGAAAAGAAAAGAATTTCTATTTATTATAATCAAAACTCTATGAAGTGCATTAAAGAAAGTTTTGTAAGGTAGTACAGCCGTAGCCTCAAACTTTTCATAATTTGGGTGTGGGTGTGGGTGTGAGTATGGCTCTTCTACTCATCAACACCTCTACCCCTACCCATCGCCACAACCACACCCTTGCGATTAGAAATCTATTTTACTCGAACAATTTATTTGACAATGTCAGAAAATCTGGACATTTGACAGACACATATTGAATAATCGAATATCATATCAAAACTTGCCGTAGGAATTACCAAGATTATTAGGCGACAATTCAGGTAGATAGACGTATGGATCTTCATAGATTACATATCGATCAGTACTGCGAACTTTTTTTGATGCCATGGTATCTGATTCAACAAAAAGATTGGGAGCATGAACGACATTTCTAATTTTACTGACGAGTTATTTCCTAGCTGGAGAAGCAGCAGTGACCATGTATAGATAATGTGATCAGCTTTATGGATCAAAAGCATTCCAATCAGATATTCTCAAGCTGTATATACCATTCAATAGTAAACATTAAACTAGTTTAATTGTATCATACTCATTCTCACTGCTAATTCGGCAAGCTCATTCTTCAAGTTGAAAATCTGTCGTCTCATGTAATACCATTGCCATAGGACTTTATTGTATTCTTGGGTATTTCGAGGAGTATTACTCAGACTGGTTTCAAACGTAGATATAAGATTCTGGAGATAAGTTAGTCTTTCCTGTAATTTAATACGATTCACTTCATTCAGATCGAGTATCGGTGTTGATGGCAATTTTTCTCGGTTCAATGGGTTGACATTGGAATTCGAAATTGCGTGTGGAACTTGGCGCAATCTATGAGTCGAATTCTTGAATGGTTTGCTAATTTGATCAATCAATAATCTTGTTTTACGGTAGAGTGGAAGTGTGACATTGGATCTACGATCGTATGACGAATTCGACTTATTTTGGCTACTTGTATACAGTAATAAGGACGAGCTTTGTGCTGTTTTATCCCGCGTTCCACTCCCGGAGCACGGTAGAAGAAACATGGTACAATAATTTCGTTATTGATGTGCTGAAAATACTCAAAACTTAATTCCTTTGCTTTTCTTCTACTAGAGAACATTTTGCTGCAGGAAAAAAGGCTGTCAACTCTTTGAATTCTCCCATGTGTCATGGGATACTAACGAATGTCATGAAACAATAAAAGGGATGCATGACATGTCATCGATTACATGTTTTCAATGCAATGTTTGAATGACTAATTCTATTGAATATATTTTATAAGGGAGAGTTTCTTTTATTCGGACGACTAATAAATCAGAGCAACACGCTCGCAAGATTGTGCAAGACTGATTGTAAGATATGAATGCTGTGGTCGCTTTCGTTCTTCTTTCTTTCGTAGAGAAGAAAAGGAAAGAAACTTCATTGATTTCAAAAAATGATATTTGGATATATTCCAATGGGGAATATTGATGATTTAATTTATAAAGATCGATAACTATGGGAAATTATTGATGTTTACTGCTTTTAGATTCGATCAGAGTGACTGACGAGTTTACACAGCTCTATGTCTATTCTCCTTTGAATTTATAGAATTTCAGAATAGTCGGTTGGTCTTAATTTGGCAATATTTTGAGCAAAATCAAATATAGTTTGTTTGATTTTGAAATTTTCATCGCACTCATTCATTTTCATTGAGAAAACGTAAAGTTTCATTGTGTTTTCTGGTGAAAAAGAATTCAAGTATGTTGAAGAAGAATATGAATCATTCAGGATGGTGAGATCGAAGAATTTCGTCATATATTTAAATAAGACAAGGTTAAAGAATGACTAATCACAAATTCGTTTTGCTGATAGCAAAAATAAAAAACATAAAACAAAAAATTTAGGTTATTTTCTTTTCTATGCTGTCAACAGAATATATGGAGTGCTGACGTTTATTAGAGGAATAGCGTACTTTGAAAACGGTGAACTCCGCGTTTCAAAGATTCCATAATTTACTGTAATGTTTGCACTATCATCGAGATTTTTTCGCTTGATGATGAATGATCTGAGAAATAGTGACTTGTTCTTATCAAATAACACAATATCATTATATGACGGTATGGGTGTTGCTGCGAGTGTGGAATGTGGAGTATCGATGTGCATGTGGTAGGTATGTGACTTAGTGTGTAGCCGCAGGTGTGGGGGAACCGGTGTACAATGTAGATGGTCTATATCGTTAAAACAAACACTCACATACTTTTCACACAGTTTATGGACAAAAAACAGTGAACTTGGTCGCAAAAAGGTGGTGGGGTGTGAGTGTCGGTGTTGGTGTTGGTGCGGGTATCTGGGCGTAGGTGTGGATATGGATGTAGGTGTGCATGTAGATGTTGTTGCAAAGAAGACCCACACTCACGCCCCCACCCACGCTCATGCCCACATTCACACCCACCCACACCCACACCCTCAGTTGTTGAGAGATTTCATTTTTTCTGAAGGTAGCATCGTCAAAAAAGCATATTTTTTTTTCGTTTCTATGACATCTGTATCTTATTATGGCTACATGTATTTGACTTGAAATTATTAGTGTGACTTAATATCATGATTCTGTGTTACTGAAAATAAAAGACGTCAAATAGATGAACAAATTGATGAGTTGACCAATACTATCAAGTACACAGCAAAGCAAAGCAGTCATTTTTTGGTATTTTGTGCATAACATATATTTCTAAGGAATGGATCATGTTAGAAGAATCAAAATTTGACTATGAAGAAAAATTATCATTGTGACAAAAATTATGACGTGGAAAGAATTTGATGTCCCAAAATATGAAGCATATAGAAGTAGGACTCATATGGGTTGAAAGGATCTACTGAATCCTACAAAATTACCAAAAAATTGACGCAGCATTTCGTAAACTAGCCTGCCGAGACTTATTGAAACAAAAAGAAAAAATGCAGCTTTTTCATAGGAAAAGCACCTGAGTTCGGTCAGAAATCCCGTATCCTACTATGAGGAGTTTTCAAAAAAAGTCTTTGTTTTTCATTTTGAAGGGATATTTTGATGGAAGATAGTTGAGGATCATGTGCTGATTTACAATGAATGAAATTCATATCATTTGATGAGATGCTTTAAGTAATTTGTGAGCGAATTCGGGTACGTTTTCTATGAAAAAAGTTCATTTTTTCATAATTTTGTAGGACTCAGTGAATACTTTCAGCCCATATGAATCCTACTTCTATATGCTTCATATTTTGGGAGATCGAATCCTTTCAAAGTCATAATCTTTGTTACAATGATAATTTTGGTATCTACTCAGCGTAAAATGTTCAAGTCAAATGCAAGTATCGTTAATGAAATATAGATGTCACAAAATTCCACAAAAAATATACTTTTTTTGATGATATTACCCTCTGGAAAAATTAAATGTTTCAACAACGGAACAATATTCTTTTCTAATGGCATTCGTCAAAATTCTCAAAATTCTTTCCTCTACTACATATGTTAAAGCGAGCTAAATCTGATGACCTTGATGAAGTAGCTTCTGTGAGAGTCGATCGTGGCATATTCGAACTGACTCTTATACTTAGTAAAAACAGAAAATTTTTCTTTTTGGCAAGATAAGTTTTATTTTAATTGTACTTGTTCTTGTGGTTCCATTTGTAATTGAAGAATTTGTTCAACGGTAAACGAAAAAATTGCTTTTTTTTCATTAATTAGTTGTTGAAGTACTTTTTGTAGACGTGAATGGGGTACTAAATTCTGTATTCGAGTTGTACGATATTTAATCACTGGTATCATAGTATTCGTCATTAGTGTATCTGATAGTTTACTATTAACTGCAACAATATCATTAGAATATGTTGTTAAAGTAAGTTAAATAATATAAAAATTACTTTATTTCTAAAGTCATTTTTTTCCATTTTTTCTTCTATTAGAAAATGATAATAGATAATAATTTAGTTCGTCATTTGCTTGCATGCGAAACAACAGGAAATGTTACTACACTATGTTGTAATAAAACAGGACTGTTAACAACAAATCGTATGACTGTTGTGCAAGTCTATGTTGGTGAAAAGCATTGGAAAAATGTTGAAGATCCAGCTAAAGTTGAAGAAATTATTTTGCTACCTCATATAAAAGAAAGTATAATTGAAGATCTATCTGTTAATAGTAGCTATTCATCAAAATTATTAGTAAGTTAATATTTAAGTTTTCAAAACACCAAAAACAAATTCATAACCAATTTTGTTTTTCTTTCTTCTTTTAGTCTCCAACAGAAGAAGACACATTACCACAGCAAGTTGGAAATAAAAATGAATGTAGTTTATTAGGTTTTGTTGGTGCTCTTGACGGAAACTATGATGAAATACGTACACGTTATCCAGAGGAAAAATTTGTTCATATTTATAAGTTTAATTCAGTAAGAAAAAGTATGTCAACAATTATTTGACGACATGATTCGACTGTACGTATGTATACAAAAGGTGCATCAGAAATTATTTTAAAAAAATGTACAACAATATTAAATCATAATGGAGAAGTAATACCATTTTCAACTGCTGATTATGATCGTCTTGTACAGACAGTAATTGAACCAATGGCATCTAATGGTTTACGTACAATATGTTTAGCATATAGAGATTTTTCATCGCATAGATTACCCGATTGGAATGATGAAACTAGCGTGGTGGATCAATTAACATGCATTTGTATATGTGGTATTGAAGATCCTATTCGATCGGAAATACCTGATGTTATAGCTAAATGCCGAAATGCTGGTATAACAGTAAGAATGATTACAGGAGATAATGTTAATACAGCTAGATCAATTGCACTAAAATGTGGAATTATATCACATAATGATAATGCTTCAGTACTTGAAAATCAAGAATTTAATAGACTTATAAGATCAAAAACAGATGGAGAAGTAAAGAAATTTATTTCTTAATTTGGTTTCTTTGTTTTTTCATTTTTGTTCTTGATTGTAGGTTAAACAGAATTTACTTGATAAAGTTTGGCCACATTTACGTGTACTAGCTCGTTCATCGCCACAAGATAAATATATACTTGTAAGAGGTATTATGGCATCAAAAATCAATCCGGCACGTGAAATTGTTGCTGTTACTGCTAATGGGACAAATGATATTCCTTCTTTGAAAATAGCTGATGTCGGCTTTGCTATGGTTAGCTTTTCTTTCTTTTTTTTTTCAAAATTCATACAGTAGATAATTAAATTTTAATACATGATATGATGAATAGCGTTCATTATTTATGTAACGATTTATATTTTGAGAGTAACTTAAATATAAAGATAAGTTAACATTATGAAATTTACTCAACGTCGAATTTAGATTGACGAGAAAAGTTTCACAGTTGNAAAAAGATTGGGAGCATGAACGACATTTCTAATTTTTCTGACGAGTTATTTCCTAGATGGAGAAGCAGCAGTGACCAAGTATAGATAATGTGATCAGCTTTATGGATCAAAAGTATTCCAATCAGATATTCTCAAGCTGTATATACCATTCAATAGTAAACATTAAACTAGTTTTATTGTATCATACTCTTTCTCACTGCTAATTCGGCAAGCTCATTCTTCACGTTGAAAATCTGTCGTCTTATGTAATACCATTGCCATAGGACTTTATTGTATTCTTGGGTATTTCGAGGAGTATTACTCAGACTGTTTTCAAACGTAGATATAAGATTCTGGAGATACGTTAGTCTTTCCTGTAATTTAATACGATTCACTTCATTCAGATCGAGTATCGGTGTTGATGGCAATTTTTCTCGGTTCAATGGGTTAACATTGGAATTCGAAATTGTGTGAGGAACTTGGCGCAATCTATGAGTCGAATTCTTGAATGGTTTGCTAATTTGATCAATCAATAATTTTGTTTTTCGGTAGAGTGGAAGTGTAATATTGGATCTACGATCGTATGACGAATTCGACTTATTTTGACTGCTTGTAGACAGTAATAAGGACGAGCTTTGTGCTGTTTTATCCCGCGTTCCACTCCCGGAGCACGGTAGAAGAAACATGGTACAATAATTTCGTTATTGATATGCTGAAAATACTCAAAAGTTAATTCCTTTGCTTTTCTTATACTAGAGAACATTTTGCTGCAGGAAAAAAAGCTGCCAACTCTTTGAATTCTCCCATGTGTCATGGGATACTAACGAATGTCATGAAACAATAAAAGGGATGCATGACACATCATCGATTACATGTTTTCAATGCAATATTTTAATGACTAATTCTATTGAATATATTTTATAAGGGAGATTTTCTTTTATTCGAACGATTAATAAATCAGAGCAACACGCTCGCAAGATTGTGCAAGACTCATTGTAAGATATGAATGCTGCGATTGCTTTTGTTTTTCTTTCTTTCGTAGAGAAGAAAAGGAAAGAAACTTCGTTGATTTAAAAAAATGATATTTGGATATATTCCAGTGGGGAATATTGATGATTTAATTTATAAAGATCGATAACTATGGGAAATTACTGATGTTTACTGCTTTTAGATTCGATCAGAGTAACTGACGAGTTTACACAGCTTTATGTCTATTCTCCTTTGAATTTATCTAATTTTAGAATAGTCGGTTGGTCTGAATTTGGCAATATTTTGAGCAAAATCAAATATAGTTTGTTTGATTTTGAAATTTTCATCGCACTCATTCATTTTCATTGAGAAAACGTAAAGTTTCATTGTGTTTTCTGGTGAAAAAGAATTCAAGTATGTTGAAGAAGAATATGAATCATTCAGGATGGTGAGATCAAAGAATTTCGTCATATATTAAAATAAAACAAGGTTAAAGAATGACTAATCACAAATTCGTTTTGCTGATAGCAAAAATAAAAAATATAAAGCAAAAAATTTAGGTTATTTTCTTTTATGTTGTCAACAGAATATATGGAGTGCTGAAGTTTATTAGAGGAATAGCGTACTTTGAAAACGGTGAACTCCGCGTTTCAAAGATTTCATAATTTACTGTAATGTTTGCACTATCATCGAGATTTTTCGCTTGATGATGAATGATCTGAGAAATAGTGACTTGTTCTTATCAAATAACACAATATCATTATATGACGCCATGGGTGTGGCTGCGAGTGTGGGATGTGGAGTATCGATGTGCATGTGGTAGGTATGTGACTTAGTGTGTAGCCCAAGGGGGTAAGTGCTGCACCACCGCACCAAATTTTCATCAAAGGTGCTGAGATGGTGCTGAGATGGTGCTGTGGTGCTGAGATGGTGCTGTGGTGCTGATATGGTGCTGAGATGGTGCTGTGGTGCTGAGGTGGTGCTGAGGTGCTGAGATGGTGCTGAGATACTGAACTGATGCCGAGATGGTGCTCAAGTGTTGATAGATTTTTATGAGGAGTATATCAACTAAAGTGTTAATATATAATAGGCTGATAGCGCTATCTGTCAGACTGACTATTCATTTCGGTTGAGATAAGCTACACACAATTCGATCTACACACACAATATCGCCATTGAGACATGTTGCACAATTCCTCCGAGTGCTGGATATACTATAAGATGGCGCTGATATACCATATCTGTCTATCATTACATGTGCAAAAGGAGCGAAAATAGCATAGATAGACTTGAATTTAATATTGATCTATTCTAATCAAGTAACATCAAGCCCTATAAATATATCATGTCGTACAAGTTACTATTGTGATTTTTGTAAAATTATGATTAATTTTATTATACAAAAATGATTAAGTACACGTTATAAACGTAGAAATAGAATGAAAACATTACAGTATTTTCTAGTATACAATTATGAATAAAAAATTTAAAGTTCTTTGAAAAGTTATTTAAAAAAATTTAAAGTTGGACTATGTATAGCAGGAACTACGGACTTGCTAACCAGAGCCATGTGGCTCAACGTAAACGATTTGATTGTTCCCTTGATTGTAGACTAAATAAAAGATAAATAGCTGTACGAAAAGTCAAATAAAACACACTTACTCCGTCAGCTTTATTGAAGATACGAATCGGTACAGGTTCAGCTAACAAAACAGGATTTGGTGATTCATGTGCTGTTGTCTAAATGTAAATAGCTTTAATAGTTACTATGTAGTTTAAATAGATTTTAGTTCTTGTTGTAATCATTATTATGTAATATGCAATCGTATACAACTATCATCTGATAAACGATTCAAGAAAAAAAAATAGCGAAGAGCGCTTTCATCGAAAAGGCCTTAAATTTTGATATATATATATACTAATGAACCAGTTTTCAGTTTCATAAAAGAATCTTAAAATTCCTTTAAGCTGACTGTAAAGCAAGATTTGTCAGATAAACATGAGATTACAATTTACTCACATTCACTGGTTTCATGAACACTACTATTTTCTGGGCGGTGTGGAATGTTTCAACGATCATATCGAAGGACGTTGTGGTGATTTTTTGGTATGGACTTGAATCATAGAGTGCAAGTGGATCAAGTTTTATGATGGATATACTATTGTATTCATCAACTACTAATATCGACGTTGCTTTATATTGGCATGTAGACTGGGTTTCATAATTCATTAAATCAACTCGAACATTTTGAACTATGGATAATGTTGCTTGTGATAAATAATACATAAGTATTGCCGGAAATCGATGATGAGTTTGGTTATTTATCGGTAGTATGATATTATTCATCTTTTGTAAGCAGGAAGAACAAGTAAGATCTATTATATTTGATGATTTTAATGGTGTGCCATAAATTGTTTTAAGTTCGGTATTTTGATCGTAAATACAGATTCCATTATATGTTACAAATAACGAATTAGACGCAGCATCACAACTTTGACATCGATAGTATGTAGTTAAATAAGAAGATAACATTGATTTAAGACTTCTAAAGTTTGAATTGCTTTCAATAACTTTTACAGCATCGCTTAACGTTTTACATATTTTCAATTCATTTGGTTCGCTAAGCTTTAACACAAATGAACAACATTGAGCAATTGCATAAAGAAAGTTGCTGTTGCACGTTCTTGTTCGTTCCAAAATTAACAAACGACTATAAGCGAAGAGCTTACATAGCTTTTCACCATTGCCAACTAGTTTCATCATAGAACTAACTTGCCAACGTTGTTTTATTTTTGTTACCAGTGTTAACTTATTATCTGTATGTGGCATGATCGATAAAAATCCAATAATATCATAAATATGTGATGAGGCACAACCAATATTTAATTTTTCAACAAACGATTGAAAAAAAATTGCATTTGGTGGTTTAGTCATAGCTGTTGATGAAACATTTTCATTATGAATTTGAACAACTATCACCGGTGGACCTAAAAATATTACTAAATCGATTTTCTAACTAAAAAAAATATTCATCTTCTTACATTCAAGTAGTTTTATGCTGCGAATCATACTTGTCGAGCATTTATCACATAAATGATCAGAGACCGAACCGTCAAAGTAATTATTCAAGCGATGACAAAGTTGAAATGAACCTTCAGTCATATTAATTGTAATGTATTTAATATCAAATCGTGTTTGTATGCTGAAGTTGCAATGCGCACAACGATATGTTTTAATGGCAGGAATAGAACAATCGATTATTGGTAGAAGAAACTCATGAAGAATTATATTTAATTGTTTATTTCCATCAACTGGAAAATTTGGTGGTATTTGAAAATTAGTATTTAATACGTTGATTAATTCAGTACTATTTTTCCTCTGAGGTTTGATGCGTTTGGTCATTGATAACCATTTCGAAATGAAACAGACTATATCATAAAGTAACGGTGTTGATATTCTTCTTGATAAAACTGTAGATTCACGTATATATTTAATGGAAATTAATGCTCCGACCGTAAGATTTAACCAGTTTGAAGTCGATAGATTCGGCATACATAGATCATCATTTATTGTAGTTGAACTTGTTACTAAAGCATATTTCAAGTTATTCATAACTAATCTATCAGGTTTTTTAGCGTAGAATCCATAGCCGCGACGATTGGCTTTTCGCCAATTTTCTTTTAATTGTTTTAGCTGTTGCTGACCAGACAAATCGTTAATATTATTAGATGATGTAGCCATGTACGATAGAGCAAAATTTTCGATGAACTTTTGCATGTCTTGGATCAAAATTTGCAAGACTACGTCAGAACGAATGTAAGTCTGTGTACCTATAGAAAGTTGAGATACATAACTCCATTTAAGATTTTTAGAGTACATTGAAACACATACCTAACTGTGTTCGTTTTACTATTGCCATTCGTCGTTCCGATATGGCGTTAGTTCTCTGGTCATGCGTATTTAATAAAAGCTTGTCATATGCTACAATCGATGATTTTATGTGCCGTGACAAGTTGCCTAACATGTTAAATAAATGTTAAAATAATGTTTGTCATAGAAATTTCCTTTACCCAACAATAGATTAGACCATATAGCAACTGTTGGTATGCAGTGCCGGTTTATATAAACAAGCCATTGTCTTACTGACTTCAGGGTTTTATCCATAGATGTAGAAGAACCTGCAGTCGATTTGACATTTTCATAGTAGCATTCATTGTAGATTTGTTGAAGATCTTTCTTAAAACTACTATCCACTTCGTTCAGTTGCTTTTCTTCATCAATTATCTAGCAAGAAAATTTAAAATAAAAGTATGAATTTTGTCAATGACACTACATGATTGATTATCTGAAAATTATCAAGTGTAAGTTATTTTAAACATTTTACGAGCTTTGATAAAATTTAACTGTACATTGAGATAAAATATCTTGACTCGAGTCATCTTATTAGAACAACCAGATGAATTCAAAAAGAGTCAGAATTATTTTAGAAGGCTTAAACAAAATCACATCTAGTTATCTTAATATTGTCGTTCTATTTTGCAAAATTTTATGTAGAGAATTCATGACATGACCTAATGCGAAGAGTTACGGTAGAAAAAGCAAATCGATTTATGTCGACTGTAGTAGTAGATATTTTCACTAATTTCTGCGGTTAACAAAAATATATAATGTCAAATTTGTACTGCAAAGTAATCACTATATACATCCTACAATAGACTATTTCAATTCAGAAACGATAAAAAAAACAAGACCATGCTTTTGTTCTTCCTAAATAGGATATCCATTGATTTTTATGAGTACCTGTGATACATTCAAGTCATTTGAAATATGACTGATTCGCTTAAGAAGTACTGAATAGCTTTGCTTGAATTGAAATGTTTCAGTAGTCGAATAGCTCATGAACACTTCACATATTAATCGCCAATTCTCCTTCATATCATTCCATAAATTAGTGTTTACTAAAAGTGCCATACACCACATGGCGAATTCCCGAATATCTTCGGGTAAGTACTTATTGGTGCGTTTTCTCATATCCTAAAATATAAAAAGACAGGAAAAAAATTGTAAAAATTATTTTCATACAAGCATGAAATGAGATAAGCAAGCATGAATTATTGTTTTAGATAGATCATTTTCGATGGCTTGGTGATTAACAATACGATACGCTCGCTCGAAAAATTGTTGGTAAGTTTCTTCATTGAATACACGAAGTGCAGCTTGTAAAAATATTTGAGCACGATCAGATATGATCACAACAGGCTTTGGGAAAGAATCCTTCTTATGAGGAAATACCTTGAGAACAAATAACAAAACTTTGAATGAAATTTCAATAGAATCATTTGAAAAAGAATGTGAGTTGTATTTCATTAGACTAAATTTAGATCGTAAAACAGCTTACCTTTTTGTGATTCTCTTTGAATGTCAATAGCCAATTTGTAACTGTGTGAAGTGTTTGAGACTCCGATAACATAAATGTTAATGGAACTAGAGTATCTTCATTTACTATATTCGGATGAGATACTGTCAGTTCATAATATAAACATTGCTTTGAACTTAATGTAGAGTTTTTAATTATGCCTCCTGTTGCATCCCAAGATAAAACCGTTTCCGGATGGCTTACGATGGTATCGTATAAACGAATTGATGCTTCGGTAAATACGACGGTACAAAATGGACGAAATTGAATTAGTTGAATTGCGCCATTAACGATTCCATCATGATTTATTTCATTGGCTAACTGGTCATGGAGTTGTAAAATGCCTGACAATACATCTGGGGACAATAAAGAATTGGCAGTTGCTTCGGCTTTTATTTTTTTAAATATTGCTTTTGACTTTCCGGTAAAATCGTAGTTGAAGCTTCTTTTCTCTTTTGCACTACGTCGTTCAGAATATTGGGTGTGTAATCGATGAACAGATGCCCCAGACTTGAATTTATCAATGATGGCTTGTCTTTGAGAACCACGTATTGGGCGGCTAATTCTTTCACCTACATGGTGTATAACTTTTTGGTTCAATGCAATTATAAAACAATAACCATTGTTCAATACATGCACGGTACATTTAAAATGACAATAAGCACCGTTGCATTTTAAAATGCATCGTAATAGAAGAGAATTTGGTGTTGACATATTTTTTCCAAAATATCGAGAACGAATGCATAAACCACAAGCAGCATTGTAATGTTTAAGATGAGGCAAAAGTATATTTAAATATTCAATATTAACTTTACTGTTTAGTTTAACATCTTGATTCTTTTTGGAATTGTTAAAATTTTTATCATTTTTTGATTGATTAGCTTTCAATATAGATGTTTTCGGTGCTAGTCCTACACTTTGCATTTTACGATCAAATTCTTTCATTAGATTTTGTTGTCGTAATAAGTTCAGTTTAATAAGTTCAGATTGGTTTAGACGAAAATGATGTTTTTGCGAAAGTGTTTCTTCAAATGTTTCTTCAATTATTACTCCTGAAGCTACTGATGCTAATGTTTTGGAATCCTCTAAATTATAAAAAGAAAGAATTTTATTTTGACAAGGATGTTCAAGAATAGTTTTATTGCCCAACAGTTTTCCAATTTAAAGATTTACACATTCTTACGTTTTCGAGTTTCTTCATCATGTATGGAATTAATTGTTGAATTATTAGGTGCAACATCCGACAAAAAAGAATCTTGAGAACTCGATGAAGATTGGCATGAGTCTAAAGTTATCATTACAGCAATATTTTACTATGCATTTATAGAGTATTTCTTATTTCGACAAACTTTTATTTAATCTATGATCATTAATCTTTCGTTTTTTAAAAATAGAAGCATCCGTTGTTCTTTCACCGATTGTTATACTGCTATGGGTTTGTCCACGAAGTGGTTCATCATTTAAAATAATGCTCTCTGGTGACTTTGGAATCGACGAAATATTTAACAATTCTAACGAAGTACCTTTCTTGTGTTCCACTAAATAAAAAAGTACATGAACAAAAGTCTTTAAATAATGTCTTACAATTAGATGAATATAAAATACGACTGTTCGCTGGTGTCGAAGTATTTATTTGATATTTAACTGATGTGTTTGTATTCGTTGATGCACTATCAAATTTAGCGTAAAAGAGTATCAATGCTTCTGAATGATTTATAACTTCATTTGTTGTTACACTTTGACAGTGTTCATCATCGACAAGAAACCATATGTTATCTGATGAACGAATGTAAGCATAATAATGACCACTAGTCAAATTTTCACCAGTATGATTGATAATGGCATACAATTTATAGCAAAAATCACTTGATAAAGTAGCTTTATCATTTTCATCATTGGTAATACATAAATTTGCAGTCATGTAAGGAGAAAAATTCAAAATCTCATCATAATTGATACGATGTTTAAGTTTTTCAATTGAATCAAAAGTTAAAGCACATCTTTTAAAATTTATGATCAAGATGGGTGATAATTGATCAAAGGTAATACGTTTTTTAATCCCAACGAATTGGTTACAATTACTGCATTTAAATTGATTAACTGTTTCCGGATTAACAAAGTGTAAAAGAGCATCAGTTAAATCGTATAATTTATCAACTTCCAGTAACACAACATTGGTGGTTTCTTTTTTTAAAAATATATATGAACATTCAGGGCATCGTCCAGATGACAATAATTTAATGCTAAATATGTCATCAATCACTGTAGGATATAAAGAAATAATTGATGAGTTTGAAAAATGTGATGGCCAGCAAGAAATACAATGATCAAGAAACGTAATGATGAATTCACTGGCATCTTCTTGCTGTCCTATAGAAAACACTGGTGATATTTGACCAATATTATTTCTTATACGATCAGCAGATGGAATATTAGACCAAGTTTGCGTACGACATTGATCCATTGATAATGGATGAATTAAAGTTATTATTCGTGTTAATTCGCAAATAGAACAGAATTTTCCTATAGTTGATAATTTACCTACAATAAAAAACACATATTTAGATATATTTACGGATGTATTCAATATCGCAGTATGTTAATGCTGCCATAACAATTATTATAAATAACATTAACTAATAGCGAGAAAAGAGCACAATAAGTGAATTAAATGTAAATATGAATAGTATAATTGCAGCTATCTTTGCCATACTCTTTGAGTATCATCAATACTCATTATGTTTCTGCTTACATGAGTTCAATTGATCTGATTGATTGAACAGCCAGTCAACTAATGGAGGTGTACTTGCTAAACATTGTAAAGAAGCATTTATATAGCACGTAGTTTTATCTATGTTTTTCAAGCCAATTATATATTTTCGTCGGAAATCGAATTTCATGTTTGATTGATTACGCAGTGGTTTGCAAATATTTTTAATGTCTTGTAAGACATTGAATCGTTTTGTAGCAGTTGGTTCATCAATAGGGCTTAGAAATTCAACTAAAAAAATAATAGATTTATGAATTCAATACTGCAACAGTTTACTCACTTATCTCCATTGGATGTGTGATTTTGTTTTCAGAATCCTTTGAAATCGAATTGACTTTATCTAAATTATGATCGTGTATATGAAGAGCTTTGTCTAAATGAAAACCTGCTGTAAGAAAAATGTAACATTTTTTAAAAATTTTACCGTTTTGCTTGCCATCAGTACACGTCGAAATATAAGCATCAGTTGATGATCGTGAACTGAACATATCTTGATAAAATTTCATAGACTTTAAAAGCTTTCTTCCATTAGCTGATAAATAAGACATCCATATTTCTGGAATATCAATATTTTTCAAATATGTCGTTGGATCGATGTCATAACATAACAGTCTATTTATGAAATGTATATCAACATTATCTGGTATATATTTGACGAATCCTTCTGGTTCAAGTTGACTATGATCAGCAAATAAATCTTCAGTAAATTGTAATAAACAACCTTCAACAAGAGAGTTTGCTGCATCGTAGTCAATACTTTCTGTCAAAGAACAGTTCGAAATGACAGCACACGTATGTTGTAAGATACGTTTTGCAGCTTCTTTTAAGCGTATCTCATATTTGGTCACGGGTCTTCCAACCAATAAGGCAAACTTTTCTATTTCTTCAATATTTTCATCTGTTATAGATACATTTTCGGCATTCATGTTGTGATTAGCACCATCATTATTATCAGTATTATTGATATTTTTGGCATAATCGTGATCATTGTGTGATTGTTTTATATTAACATTTTCTGAGACAAAGCTCATAGTTATACAATCTATAATCTTCTAAAACAGTATATGGAAAAATAAAAAATAATGCTTTTTGAATTATTGCTATTCTTTATATTCTTCTTGTTAAACATGTTAAAATGTTCTATCAGCGTGCAATTACTTGACAGAATATCTAACTTTTAAGAATTCTTTTTGTTCTGTATGAGAAAATCATTTAAAAAAAACTAGCATTTACTTATCTTTCAGCTGTTGTATTATATTAATAGATAAAAATGGTCCATCGTTCTTTTCTAAACGAAGAAGCTTAATAACATTTAAAATTCAACAATCAAATTTTTCTTAATTACACGTGTTTTGACTACGTGTTCATCAAGCATCGTGTGTTTACATAGTCAGAACACATGCATCATTCCGTATAGCTAGAAAGACAGCACAAATTCATCACGTGTCATTTTTTTTCACTGATTGCTCGTGATACATATGCGTTAAAATGTCAAAATAGATAGTTGTAACGGACCTTTGTAAGTCCATTATTGTTCAAGTCATCACATCAATTTTTAAAATGTTATTCTTGTCATAGTACGATGCACTAGCTCAACAATTCGAAATATTGCTATAAAGAATTCCCATCAACTTTACAATAAATGTTTTCTCCATCAACATATTTTGTCAGTTGATATTAATGTAGAAGCTTTAATTTTTTTTAATTTTTTTTTATGTTGCCCAATCTTGAAATAAAACACTAGAATAAGTTAGCACACACATACATATATATGAACATGAGTCCTTCTCATATTCTTTGCTATTAATTTGACTTCATCAAGTCTTCAGTCACATATAATGTTTTTTCATCAATATCAATTCGAAAACTAAAGACTTATAGAAATTATTTTCAGATATATCTGTATTCATTCATTAAAAGTATCCACGTATTGTATTCTGATTAGATCAGATAATTCTCTTGACTGAATCACATGAAAAGTATGTAACGAGAGAAAAAAAGAATTTTGTTCACTTGAATGCGCAGAAATTTATTCATTTGAAGCAATATATCAATTCCTTATGAGAATTTAGTAGATATTAGTTGATTTTATGATGTTATAGCTGGAAATAAATATGGAAAGTCAAAATAATTTTCTAGGTTGCTTATGAATAATATCAATTAAACGAAAGAATTGCTAAAAAGACATGCTTTAATTTCATAAACTTGTCTTTTTTTCAAACTAAATATCCAGATGATGATCAACAAAGTTTGCCTGATGTGTATAAGAATCGATATATTCTCTTTATCGTTCAGAATTAACACCACATGCATATATCCATATGGTCATAGAAACGAATATCAAAATTGTCAAACGTAAAACAACAGTTGTTGTCAACGAAAAATTATTTCATAATGCTTCTCTCTATATAAAATTCTATGTCATCATTGGAGCAATACGAATAATTCTGTTGAGCAATGTTATTGCTTGACCTCAAATAAAATTATAACAATTAATTTTTGCCTTGTACAGTACATTATTTTACTTCTAATGAGAAGAATCATATTCTATAAAATATTGAATAGGCTCGTTCTAACGTCATAATAGCATCGCTTTGGTAAAATAATTTGTAATGGAATGCTCAACAAAAACAGAACAAATTTTATTATTGTCATTTCGTTGTATTCTGAAATAAACTATACCAACAATATTCTCTCAAAATTTATCAAAAGTAATGTTTTCAATAAGATATGAATTCGAATTCAGAACGTGTCACTTGACGTTATATTATAATTACAAAGATAATTCTCACAAATCGTTTTTCGCTTGATCGATAGAATTGAAAACTTATATTATTAGAGTTATACGAAAAGCAAGAAATTTTCATCACGTAAGACTTTTTGTGCTATATATCAGAGCATGTATGTTAAGAGGAAAACATGTGCTTCTTTTTTTTTTTATAAACAATCTCGTTCGGAACACTAAAAGAAGGATAATATGACATATAAGAAAAAGCTCTATCGAACTTCGATATTGAGAACATAATTTATATCAGAAACTCGTACACTAAAGTAAAGTCTAAAATAAGTATCCCATGTGTACAATCATAAACAAGTAATTAGACATTCCATGTCAATATAATGTTTAAGTTTTTGAAACGCTATCGAAAATTCACATTTACAATTCACATACTGTTCAATGCAACAGATTAACGTAACTTTTAACATTGAAAAAATTCATTTTTTATTTTTTTGTCGAAAAAAAATATTTGCACAGGTTCACATATACAGATGAATTTTACTCAACATTTTCCCCTTCTTTATTCAATTTTCCAGACTTTCAGTTTTGAGTGTGTTACAGTTACTGCGACTAAGCAGTAGTGACTTTTTTCATAGGCAATCAAATATTTTTTTGTTCAGAGTAAAATTTTGTCGTTGTCTTTGTTTTGAAAATTACGAGACATTATGGATGAAATTATTTATCTTTAAATCAATTTTGATATGATGCTTCTTTAAATCTGCGGAATTTAAAATTGTACTTAGATCGACATGTTTGATGATAACCATAGATTGTTATGACTTCGTATATTTTTGAAGTATATTCTTTAAATAAGTTATGTTTCGGAACATATTGTTCTAATGTAAATACAGTAAAAGCTTGTTTAGTTCATTTCAAACTGATAAATTGTTTTATCATCATTTTCGGATACAAGCTTGAAGAATTAATTGATCATTTCATATGTTTCAAAAGAAAAGTTTACCAGGTCTATTCATTCGCATTGCATGAAGCACTGTCGCATCATTACGGTGTCACTATGTGTATAAATTGACACGAAGAAAAAGTAAGGGTATACCATGGAATATAAAATGATTGGTTAAAATGCAAAAGGATAAGCTACACACATTGTTGTGTGTAGCGTGTGAATGTAGCTTATCTTAACCCTCTTATATGTCTAAAGTGAACTAGTACCATTCAGCATCTTTTTTCCTTTTTGAGAAATAATAAATGATATTTTATTTGAAGGAGCAGTCATCATATCTGAAAATCAATTCGTATATCTTTAACTATTAACTATCACTAATCGAAATTTCATCAGTAGAACCATTATTAATGGGGTACTAAAGAAAAAATAATTAATCCATGCAAATTGATTTATCTATTATATTCGCATATTTACATATGCATCATTTAAAGAGTAAACGTAACACTTTTAATAGCATGAATCAACCAATCAAATAAGAAATGTTTAATGCATATCTTATAGCGACGTCTTATGACTATTTATTCTTTTCTTTTCGATATTCTTCCTTTCGCTATTTTCTCATGCGATATTTTTCCTCATTTTTTTCTATATTTTTTCTTTCTATATTTTTCCTTTCTATATTTTTCCTTTCTATATTTTTCCTTTCTATATTTTTCCTTTCTTCCTTTTTCCATCATACCGTTGCAGTTTACGATAGACGAAAGAAACAAAGCAGCTGGGAAAAAACCCAGTTGAGAGTTTTTCATCATATATATTAAACGCTCAGTAATAGTAAATTGTGCATCATTTTTTGAAACGTATTCAACTTAAAAAATATATATATCACGTTCAAATCTCAAACTTCCATTCAAAGTAAATAACTATGAAAGGTAAACGGTTACATTGCATGCTTACGAATCTATCATGTCAATTTGCAATTCCAAAAGAAATACGCAAGATGGGCAATGAATGTATGCATAAAATATTTTTAATGTTACAGAAATATTCAAATTATAAGTTAAGTCGATGTCGATTATTAGGTGGCGTTGGAAAGAAAACTTCTATTTCATTAAAATTTGATTATGATTGTGTAATTTACGTTAATACGGTCAATCCTCCCTTCAAAGAGCTGCTTGATGAATGGAATGATATCCTTATGCGTCACTTAGAAAACTTCAACGGTGTAACTGAAGTCACCAATTATAGTATTCAGTTCGAAGTTGATGGATTTAAATTTGATATTTTACCTGCACCAAATTACAACGGTTCCATCTATAAGACTAAATCACAAGCTGATGTCATTTGGGAAAAAATTTCAACGGAACAAATGGATTCTAAAATAGAAAAACTCTCTTACCTTTATAGTTCAGGCCTCTCGGAACTAGCGTTAAAATTTATGAAGAAACAATCTGGGTTTATTCATGATTTATGTCGTTTAGCTAAGTTTTGGAATTGCACGATAGTGTTTGACCGGTACGTAAGTGGTCGTTCGAGCATTATTGAATATTTAGCAGTGAAAGCGGGACAAGAAGAAGAAGCGGCAACCAGCAAAAAACGATCTATATTGCATGCATTTTGTCGATTTTTATCCTATTTGACCGAGTACAAACAGATCAACATTATATTCACTGACTTTTATGATGAAACTCGAATCACGAAATGCGAAAAACCCTATCTAATTGATCCAACTAATCCATACAATAACTTCTTGGATGGTGTACCGGATAATTTTTTACCGACATTAGCTGAATATTCCAAGGAAACATTGAATCGTCTAAATAAATGTGAAAAAAATGGCTCAATTGAATATGAAAAACTATTTGATCCGCAGCCGGATCTACGAAGCTTATTCAATGGTAACATTAACATTACTTCTATAAATATAATGGTCAGGAACTATCAAAACTGTACTGAAAAAAAAGCGAAACTAATCAAACAACGTGAAATATTTGACCGGGCTGCATCAGCAAGAATGAAAGAACTCTTGACATATGCTTTAAAGTACTATTCTAGTATTTTCAAGAACTCGTCTGAAGAAGAAATCGGTGAAAAGATTATGACGGTCACTCAAAAATTCATCAATCGTTCATTTTATGGAGAAGATCAATCGAAAACGTTTGCAAAGACGCATGAAGAATGTGATATTACGTTTATTTTACCTCTGCATACAAAAAAACAAGACGCAATATATATTTCCATGATTCAACAATCTACTCCTCGTCCATAATTATGAAACACTAAATATCATGTTCTTGCATAATTAACTGTACCATTTTCATGAATATCCATTGACTGTTTCAAAAGTCTTCTCAATAAAAAAGATGAAGTATCTTAGGCTCGTTTCAGTGTGAAGAGCTGATTTTTCTTGCCTAATGATAGACATTTCCTTAATGTTATGTTATTCGCAAATGAAACTTATCAATATTGTTCGAAAGTAATTCTTTTTCATTTGACAAGCAATCAATAATAACGAACACATTTGATCAAATTATTAGTAAACTTCGCTGCCTTTGTATCCGTTTTCCACTGATGAAATCTTAAATGAGTAAAACCAATATAATTTTAGAATTTCTTTTTATTTGAATGAAAATTTTGATTAAATTCGAACGATTGGATTAACATTTTATTTAGAATCAATGTTTCCTTGGAATATTCAGCTAATGTCGGTAAAAAATTATCCGGTAGAGGATGGAAGAA